TTTTATCTGTGGTCCCACATTGGATGGGGTTTATATCTGTGGTCCCACATTGGATGGGTTTTAACTGTGGTCCCACATTGGATGGGGTTTATATCTGTGGTCCCACATTGGATGGGTGTTTTATCTGTGGTCCCACATTGGATTGGTGTTTTATCTGTGGTCCCACATTGGATGGGTTTTATCTGTGGTCCCACATTGGATGAGTGTTTTATCTGTGGTCCCACATTGGATGGGTTTTATCTGTGTTCCCACATTGGATGGGTTTTATCTGTGGTCCCACACTGAATGGTGATTGATCAAATCAATTGATTCTTAGATGTGTAGTCCTCTTTTCAGTGTACTTACCAATTTCTCCTCCATGTCAGGGGCTGGTCGACTTGTCGGGTTGAGAAGCCCCTCGAATCTGTGGCGGAACTCCAACATCCTCATAGAATCTGGGAACCCTGGGTAAACACAAACGGGCACATTATGTCTGGATTCTTGTACAATTGTTATTTATTTACTTATTTAAACAGATATGGGTCCAAGATAAGGCAGATCTTGTATTATTCCAGTATATTGCATCAGTGACCTAATTATTACAGGGCAATGTGATTCTTGAACTATCAATGTGACCTATGAACTTGGCGCTATTCTTTGACCATCCAGAGAATTACCAATCCTGTCGTGACCTATGACCTCTGTAACTAAAAGATCTACATTTCCCCTTGTCTGTATTAGATTTACTCCAACCAAGTCTATGACTGTTCGTCAAGTTAAAACCAGTCCTTATAACATTCACCCCACACTTAATTAGTGTAACCCCTTATGGCATAGCCTTTGACCCCTTGACCTCTTACCTTGTCTGTATATCCTAACTGAGTCAAGCACCTCGCTGCCCCTGATCTGACTGCGTACTAGTGGTACATTCATGAGAATCTCCTCAGCTGTGCCTGGTTTATCTGTTGGTGACGGGAGGGGTTTAAGCTCCCACAGTCCTGCGTTGTGTTGTGGTAGGACATTGTGGACGAAGTGACAGTTGGTTTTCCTAATTGTCTCTATGATGGAGTCCTGTGAGTAGAGAATGATTGATGTTCATGTCATTTATAACAGACTATATCTGCCTGTCCATAGATTTATATGATTTAGCCAGAGACATACTTAACAAGTATTCCTCAAAGTTCTATAAAGTATCTCAATTGTAGCATAGTACATCCAAAGAAACGTCACATGCACTACCAAACAGTGCACCATTAATTGACCCTGAAAAAGCCATGACCAGAAGCCATTAATAAACCATTAACACCCACCATTAAAAAGACATTAAAATGGCTAAAATTAAGAGCCAGATTAATGGGAAACCTATTAAATCAATGGCCATTAACATAATATAGTAATGGCCATGACTTAAGTAATTGATGGCCATTAATGAATTACCTGTTTTCTTGTAATGGCTTTTTAATGGTGTCATATAATGGCCATTAAGCTGTAAATGGCCATCAATGTCCCATTAATATGGCTAAATTTAAGAGCCATTAAAAGTTTTAGTGAATTTAATGGGTGATGACAAAATGTTATGGCCATTAAAATATGGTCTAGCTTTGGATTAATGGCACAGAAATTATTATTTAATGGCCATTACATTTATTCTGTATGACCACACCGAATAAATTTAATGGCCATTAAAGAATGTTGATCCTAAAGGTCAGACCATTTTCTTGTTGCCTTAATTAGCTTGATCCTGTGATATTAAATTTAATAAACCTTGTGTAATTACGCCATTATGTTTGTTATACAACATCCTTACAAATCTAAATGTTAATGTACTTAAAATCAAAATAACTCCAGACTAACATGTTATTTAGGTAGAGGCAAAAAAAAAAATGTTGTGTTTCCGCTTTCCCTGCTATACATACCTAACCCAGTTTTTTGAGGCCGACCCTAAACATTTTTGGCATTTGGCCTTAAAAAAAAGATTTTGACAAAAAGCAAAAAATATCACTATTGAGGATAAACATAACCTGAAAATAGACCAATCACTGTGTATAAAAAATTGAATGATTTTCCAACCTTGTATGCTACCTTATTTATTTCAGAACCAAAAACACAACATTTTTTTTATTTTGCCTAATGATCATGTGAGTCAAATTACCAATGGAAAAAAGAAAAATCATTTAGATCGAGACAATACACATAATGTCACATCTGTTTATTTTATCAAATAAACATATGCATCATTGAATTAATTCAAGATTGACATTGATACTATATATGCCAGTTGGCACAGTGCATGACACATCACATGACACTGACAAGTTTATCATTCTGTCCCTATGTACTGACTCACCACTTGGAACTTGACCTGGAGACACAGGGAGCGTTTCTTGATCCCGGCGGTGCCTGACATGAACGTTCTCCTCATGCTGCCGACCCGACGCAGAGAGGTGGTACCTTCCATCCCTACGATGGAGCCACTCACCATCCCCGCAACCGGAGCCTTCACGTTGTTAAACAGCTGGTTTATACTCTGTCTGAAAAATACACATCAAAACTCATAAGCAGATTTCTACACCAAAACACAGATTTGATTAAAATGAAATACATGTTTAACAGGAAACTAATCTCAGTAATCTGTAACATTTTAAACTGTTTACACACATACTGAACTTATTTTGACTTGCTGATACATGGAGGATCTGGTCTGTTTCACATAGATTCTAGTAACAAGATATTCTGAGTTTAAATTTTGAACTTGGTCAGGCAATTTACAGCCCCTGTTACATTTACATCACTGAATTTACCAACATTTAATATTTCACTGGGTAAAGGCCTCAAAATAATGAATTCCTAATAATACAAATATCTGGTATGGACAGGAAGTGTTGTGGTGCATGATGGGATGGGTATGACTTACTTTTTGTTGTCCTGTAGGACGTGTGCCAGTTTTGACTTACTTTTTGGAGTCCTGTAGCACCTGGGTGGCCACCTTGATCTGTGGGTTCTCCCGACACACCTTGAGCCAACCACTAGCATTGTACTGTACGGGGTTAGTGCCCTGGTAATGGTTTAAGATGAATGTGTTGCCTATCGACGAAGCTTTCCTCAGAAGGCTGTCTCCTGCAATAAAAGACGAGTAAAACATTTAGAACAATAAATATCTGAGAATAAGGATTTCCAACCAAATAAATTATGTAATACTAACTTACTAAATGTTGCATTTCTGTGTAAATATTGACAGCAAAATGATTATCTTACTTCTGACTTTTTGTTCGCCATGGTTTTTGAAGAATCTGTCCATAAATGAGTCTTCTGTGGCCCCAGGGAAGATGGCTTCTTCATCTAATATCCATAACAACCCTTTTTTATCAGCGTCTTTGAGATCTTGTGAGGAGGTTCGCTGTAACAGAGAGGTAATGAAGGGGAGATAATTCTGGCTGCTGAACTACCAGTACAGTGTATTTAACTTGCTTTGTTTTATAATATCATAACTATAGAGAAACGGCAAGTAGGAAAAGCTCAAGTCTAATCAAAATATATAGATATAACTGGTAGGACAAATTTTAAAGAATACAGTGGGTCATCATTCAATATTCAAATCAAAAGTTCTTTATCAAATCTCAATACGGTTAAAACGTAAATACTTTTGTACACTTCAGGAAAAACTATTTAAATATTGAAGTTGACAAATAAAAATAAAAATCATAATAAAAAATAATTATTTCATATTTCATGCTGAAATTTCTGTCTAACACATGTAGTTTATTAGCTTATTTAGCCAGAAAATAGGAAGCGAACATAAGCTGTTTCTAACAGGTCTAGGAAGCAAAATCAACTGTAACAGATGATTTTAGGTAAATGTGACAGGACAATGCATTCCACCAATCACAGGACATGACACATATTACCTCCCCCCCACCCACCAACCAACCACCCCCCAACCTCTTGAGTTTATCGCATTACCAAATTAACCCCACAGACCCAATTGATCTTATCACAAAACACAACACACATTAATCCTCCCAAACATTGTGTTATAACAATCACAAGACACATTAACCCCTACCTAAGATCTGGTTATTCCAATCTGAATCAGATACATAACATAATTAAACCCACCCCTGACCTGGTTGTACCAATCACAGGACACAACACATAGTAATCCCACCCCCAGACCTGGTTGTACCAATCATAGGATACAACATATACCTGGTTGTACCAATCACAGGATACAACATATAGAAATCCCACCCCCAGACCTGGTTGTCCCAATCACAGGACACATCACACAGTAATCCCACCCCAGACCTGGTTGTGCCAATCACAGGATACAACATATAGTAATCCGACCCCCAGACCTGGTTGTACCAAACACTGGATACAACACATAGTAATCCCACCTCCAGACCTGGTTGTACCAAGCACAGGATACAACACATACTAATCCCCCCCAGACCTGGTTGTACCAATCTCAGGATACAACACATAGTAATCCCACCTCCAGACCTGGTTGTACCAAGCACAGGATACAACACATACTAATCCCTCCCCCAGACCTGGTTGTACCAATCATAGGATACAACATATACCTGGTTGTACCAATCACAGGACACAACAAATATTAATCCCTTGTTTTACCAATCACTGTATACATCACATAGTAATCCCACCCCAGACCTTGTTATACCAATCACAGGATACAACACACAGTAATCCCACCCCAGACCTGGTTGTACCAATCTCAGGATACAACACATAGTAATCCCGCCCCCAGACCTGGTTGTACCAATCACTGGATCCAACACATAGTAATCCCCCCCCAGACCTGGTTGTCCCAATCACAGGACACAACACACAGTAATCCCCCCCCCAGACCTGGTTGTACCAATCCCAGGATACAACACATAGTAAACCCCCCCCCAGACCTGGTTGTACCAATCACTGGATACAACACATACTAATCCCTCCCCCAGACCTGGTTGTACCAATCACAGGATACAACATATAGAAATCCCACCCCCAGACCTGGTTGCTCCAATCATAGGATACAACATATAGTAATCCCACCCCCCGACCTGGTTGTACCAATCACAGGACACAACAAATATTAATCCCTTGTTGTACCAATCACTGGATACAACCCATAGTAACCCCACCCCAGACCTTGTTGTACCAATCACAGAACACAACATATATTAATCCCACAGGATACAACACATAGTAATCTCCCCCCCCGACCTGGTTGTACCAATCACAGGATAAAACACATAGTAATCCCACCCCCAAACCTGGTTGTACCAATCACAGGATACAACATATAGTAATCCCACCCCCCGACCTGGTTGTACCAATCACAGGATAAAACACATAGTAATCCCACCCCCAGACTTGGTTGTACCAATCACAGGACTAGACAGACATCAATCCTGCACAGAGACTTGTTTGTACCAATTATAGTAATCCCACCCCCAGACCTGGGTGTACCAAACACAGGACACAACACACATTAGTCCACCAGCACATTTCATTATAACAATCACAAGACACAACAGACCTGGTTGTACCAATCACTGGATACAACCCAAAGTCATCCCACCCCAGCCCTTGTTGTACCAATCACAGAACACAACACATAGTAATCCCACCCCCAGACTTGGTTGTACCAATCACAGGATACAACATATAGAAATCCCACCCCCAGACCTGGTTGTACCAATCATAGGATACAACATATAGGAATCCCACCCCCAGACCTGGTTGGACCAATCACAGGACACAACACATAGTGATCCCACCCCCAGACCTGGTTGTCCCAATCACAGGACACATCACACAGTAATCCCACCCCAGACCTGGTTGTGCCAATCACAGGATACAACATATAGAAATCCCACCCCCAGACCTGGTTGTCCCAATCACAGGACACAACACACATTAGTCCACCAACACATTTCATTATAACAATCACAAGACACAACACACATTAAACCCAACCCCAGTTGATACACAACTTAAATTAAACCTTCACAGATATCTGATTGTACCAATCACAGAACACAACACATAGTAATCCCACCCCCAGACCTGGGTGTACCAAACACAGGACACAACACACATTAGTCCACCAGCACATTTCATTATAACAATCACAAGACACAACAGACCTGGTTGTACCAATCACTGGATACAACCCAAAGTCATCCCACCCCAGCCCTTGTTGTACCAATCACAGAACACAACATATATTAATCCCACCCCTAGGCCAGATTGTACCAATCACAGGACACAACAAATATTAATCCCTTGTTGTACCAATCACTGGATACAACACATAGTAATCCCACCTCCAGACCTGGTTGTACCAATCACAGGACACACCCCAAAGAAACCCACCCCCAGACCTGGTTGTACTAATCACAGGATACAACACATAGTAACCCCCCCCAGACCTGGTTGTACCAATCATAGGATACAACATATAGTAATCCCACCCCCAGACCTGGTTGTACCAAACACAGGACACAACACACATTAGTCCACCAACACATTTCATTATAACAATCACAAGACACAACACACATTAAACCCAACCCCAGTTGATACACAACTTAAATTAAACCTACACAGATATCTGATTGTACCAATCACAGAACACAACATATATTAATCCCACCCCTAGGCCAGATTGTACCAATCACAGGACACAACAAATATTAATCCCACCTTTAGGCAGATTGTTACAATCATAGGACACAACACATATTTATCCCACCCCTAGGCCAGATTGTACCACTCACATGAAACGACGCAAATTAATCCTGTCAGCAGATCTGGTTGCACCCAAAAATCAATCACAGGAAATGACACGCATGAATGTGGTCCCAAGATCTGGTTGTACCAATCTCAGGATACAATACACATTGATCTGGTTTGGACCAATCACAGGATACAATACACATTGATCTGGTTTGGCCAATTACAGGATACAATACACATTGATCTGGTTTGGCCAATCACAGGATACAATACCCATTGATCTGGTTTGGCCAATCACAGGATACAATACACATTGATCTGGTTTGGCCAATCACAGGACTAGACAGACATCAACAACAACTCCAGAATTTGGTTGTATCAATCACAGGACACAACATACATCAATCCTGCACAGAGACCTGTTTGTATCAATCACAGGACTAGACAGACATCAATCCTGCACAGAGACTTGGTTGTATCAATCACAGGACTAGACAGACATCAATCCTGCACAGAGACTTGTTTGTACCAATCATACAATCACTTCCGTCTGATTATATGAGTTAAAGGCTTACTGTTGGACCAAAGCCATCTCATTTCGGGAAACTTGGTTGACGCAGACCACTGTTAACCATTACCAACAATTAAGTCAGGTTGTCAGACACAGTTATGACACTGTTGTCAAGAATTGTAGCATCCCAATCCTAAGGTAAAACTAAGACAATCACATGACTGTAGTGAACCATTTACAAACTTTCTACATACTAGGACATTAACACAATTGAAGTGTACCAATCTAAAGCTTTTGAAAGACTAAGACAATCACCCACTGGATTTAAGCTTTTGAAGGACTAGGACAGTCTGAATCACTGTTAACCATCACCTTGGAAACCTGACAACCTGATCTCAGTTTTAAGAAGCAGCATTGGGGAAGTGTGAAAAGTGTCAAGTTTTTTGAAATAAAAATTTCAGAAAAGCAATTTCTGCTTTTGAAAAAGTCAGGTGGTGAAAAATAAGTCATACAACAATACTGTGAACTAAAGTTGATAAGACATGCTGATAAATTCCTGACGGTGAAATCATGGTGACATCTATACTAAAGTGTCAGCTAGTTTACTAGGTGGCAAAATAAAAATGACTTTCCACACCTTCCCCTCACACTTTATCGACAGCCATTTTGTCTGACCTTGCCCTTGGTTAATATCCTTGGGTTTTAATTCTGTGCCATGTCTAGTATCATGATCCATTCTATTCATCATGTAAGTATTTGTGTAATTATTTTGATCAGAGCTTATTCTGCAATAAATAAATATTTAACTGAAATTTAAAAACTCTAGCCAAAATCAGAGTTTTAAACATGAATTGTAAGATTTCATAGAATGGATCCTGATTGTCCGTGATTTCCTCAATTCTTACCAGTCAAGTTATGAATTGTGTTGATAGCCAAGTTTTCAATCAATTTTAAATCTGTATCCATAAGCAGTATATTCATCACATGATTTCAATATATTTTTTTTTTTTTTTAACTTTTCAAACAATACTTTCATTTAGCACATTATATCATGACGTTCATTTATCAATAAATACATTACTTTAAAAAGAGGCGTGATATGCATAAGGACTTTTTTTTATCAAACAGAATATATATTATACAAGTCCAAGAATATCTAATTCAGAAAGATCAGATATATCTATGGAAGACAATAAGAACGAGAGAAGACACAAACTGGACAAGGCTACAACAACAGAACTACAGGTAACAAAGCAAATCAAAAACCTAAACCAAAGAAATCACTGTGGATACCTCGTCCATGGCTGAGTGAGCGTGCTCAGCTTTACTGATGTCACCGACAGTGGCTGAGCCACCGTGATGGCCACCACTGTGATGGGTAGGGCCACTGTGGTGGTGGTGGGCGATGCCACTGTGGTGTTTAGTAGCACTGGGGCGCCCATGAGGCTTTAGGACAAAATGCAAATAATTACAGATACACAATGTTGTTTCAACATTTTGTTTCATGAAATACAGAAGAAAAAAACAAATTAGGAAAAGCAACCATTTATTATGCCAGATACAAACACTGAGATTAAGTTACCCGAATCCACATTATTCTGTTTATCCAAGTATTGAATACAAATGAAACTTCAAACCATGGGCCTGTTCGTTTATGCGGTTTGTCTATTTTTAAATGTAACATTTTCGAGTAAATCCTGGCGGACCTGCAAATATTTATGCAGGTCTTGCAAGGCTTTGTCAAGGCTCACCTAAAAGTAGCATCAGAATACTAGGTCCGACCTTATTTCATAAATGAACAACTTTGGTCCAACCGGTTCAACCGCATAGATCGCGATAAACGAAAACGGCCCAAATTTACTGTCCGAGCTCATCTTACTTAACTCAACCATTGTATGACAAAGATTGATTGAATCTTGGTTAAATGTGTTAAATATTAGAAATGTAAAAAATAGCCAAGAATATTAAATCATGAAAATTACATCTTGTTTAGTAAAATATATTTTCATAGCTAGAAATTGCATGAAGTTGTAACCTGTCGAAATAGGATTTGTAATAATAAGCTTGCAGTCCTGCATAACATGTTTATATAGTGTGAAAAAATAGGAGATACATTCCAGCAAGCAAAGATTTTTTCAATAATAAAAGTCTATACCCAATTCATTTTCTGAAATTTTTTCATAAAGTAATGATTCGTTTAACATCAATTAAAGAAGGTGTTTACTACGAAAGGCTGTTTGTGTCAAAAACAAGACAAACTTGTTCACGTTTCCATAAAACACAATACCATTAAACATATGTACATTTAACACACCTAGCTACCTCTTGAAGAAGTTAAATTCTAAGACATAAAACACAAATCCATTAAAATTAACATGTTTACATTTAATATGTTAAAGTAGTAGTTTAATGTTTTAAAACAATATTTAAGGCATTGATTTGAACATGCTTGTGTGTCTTGGTTTTGACATGAACCGCCTTTCACAGACAACTCAGGTGCAAATTGAAAACAACAATGTATAGTAGCGGAAAACATGTATATGTGTCATCAGAGAGATGTAAGCTAAAGATAGAACAGGTCATCTACAGAGTCTATGTGTAAACACTGCTGTTCCCATGGCAACAGCTGACCTTTGACCTCGGCAACTCTGATGTTGTAATGTCCATCGGGACAGTATTATACTTGTATAGGCTTTGATAACATATCATTTACTTACATGCTGTACATACTTTATATAGAAATATATGAAAAAAGATTAAAATTGAATTTATAGGAATACAATAAATAGTCACAACAGCTTTAATTAACACTTCCTGATAAAGCAGATTTTTGTGTCTTTTGGAGAATATTGCAAACATATCCTCCTCACCCTACCTAGCTCCTCCCTCTCCCCCAAACTCTATGCTCCATCTATCATGACTCACCAGTAGCTGCTGGGCCTGTCTGTCTATTAGAGAAACCATGGCTGCAGGACTGGTCGTAACAAACTCAAAGTCGCAGTCAATGTTTTCCTGTCATAACAGAAAAACAAACATGTCATTATTGATCCTTTATACATTTTCATTTAATACCTTTATCAAAGCTATGAATTCTACTTGCTATGACTTTTGGATCCTTTAAAAACTCATTTCCAGCACTATAAAAAAAACTGAATTACCAGTTCTTGATAAGCTGGTCTAATTGACTTTTACACCTGACTTACCCATACTTGGTTCCTTGGTTTAATAACAATTACATGTGACTTACCTGTCCTTGATTACCTGGTTTATTTGACTTATCTGTCGATGATTACCTGGATTATTTGACTTATCTGTCGATGATTTCCTGGATTATTTGACTTATCTGTCAATGATTACCTGGATTATTTGACTTACCTGTCAATGATTACCTGAATTATTTGACTAACCTGTCGATGATTACCTGGATTATTTGACTTACCTGTCGATGATTACCTGGATTATTTGACTTACCTGTCAATGATTACCTGGATTATTTGATTTACCTGTCAATGATTACCTGGATTATTCGACGTATTTGTCAATGATTACCAGGATTATTCGACTTACCTGTCAATGATTACCTGGATTATTTGACTTACCTGTCGATGATTACCTGGATTATTTGACTTACCTGTCAATGATTACCTGGTTTATTTGACTTACCTGTCAATGGTTACCTGGATTATTTGACTTACCTGTCAATGATTACCTGGATTATTTGACTTACCTGTCAATGATTACCTGTCGATGATTACCTGCATTATTTGACTTACCTATCAATGATTACCTGGATTATTTGACTTATCTGTCAATGATTACCTGTCCATGATTACCTGGATTATGTAGCTTACCTGTCGATGATTACCTGCATTATTTGACTTACCTGTCAATGATTACCTGGATTATTTGACTTACCTGTCAATGATTACCTGGTTTATTTGACTTACCTGTTGATGATTACCTGGATTATTTGACTTACCTGTCAATGATTACCTGTCGATGATTACCTGGATTATTTGACTTACCTATCAATGATTACCTGGTTTATTTGACTTACCTGTCGATGATTACCTGGATTATTTGACTTACCTGTCGATGGTTACCTGGATTATTTGACTTACCTGTCAATGATTACCTGGATTATTTGACTTATCTGTCAATGATTCCCTGGATTATTTGACTTACCTGTCAATGATTACCTGGGTTATTTGACTACTGACTAACCTGTCGACGATTGCCTAAATTATTTGACTTACCTGACTATACCTGTCCTGTTGTATGGTAAAGGTGAGATCATGGAACAGCAGTTGAAGCCGTTCCTGCGTGTAGTTGTGACAGAGGTCCTCAAAAGTCGCACCCGACTGGCGTCCACAGGTTGTGGGATTTTGGAACCCGGGCGTATCCACCAGGGTAATAGACGCGGTTGTTCGGTACGTGGACGAGAGAGATCTAATAACACAAACCAACACTGCTACAGATTCTTTGTTAAGGCATTTACATAGTTAGTCTATGTTCAATCAAAGAGGGACAACTCTAAATTCTTTGTATTTGTAGTGTCTTCTTACTACACCTCAATACTGTTGTGTTACTAGGCAGGTGACTTACCTGTTGATAAGGGACACGAGTGCATTGAACACGTCGGAGTAGAGACCTATGACGAAGCCCTCGAGAGCGTCCATAGCACTCTGGTGAGCCTCGTTGGCTCCTTTGTCTGCTGGACTGTTTCTGTAAAGTCAAGTTATGGACATTTAAATAAGGACCACACCATACAGGGCTAAAACAAGTACTTCTAATGGTCAGGGTATCACACACTACATGGCTGAAATAAGCACTTCTAATGGTCGGGTAATCATGCCCTACAGGGCTGAAATAATCACTTCTAATGGTCGGGTAATCACGCCCTACAGGGCTGAAATAATCACTTCTAATGGTCAAGTAATCACGCTTTACAGGGCCAAAATAAGTACTTCTAATGGTCAACTAATAATGACATGCCTGATAGAAGAATTACATGTGAGCGTCCCTGACTACACAGACATACCTGACAGAGGTGTTGCGCGTCAACGTCCCCGACCCAGCACTGGAAAAGATTTGTCTGGAGAGTTCCTCCACAGGTAACCCTAGCAATGCCGCGGCCTTCTGGGCGGCTGCCGGTCGGGCGAACTGTGGTTTATTGTTCTGGCCTTAAACAAAAAATAACCTCTCAAATGACACAGGTGCTAGTCTAAATACATCTCAAATGACACAGGTAGCTAGTATATATACAATCATATTTCTATGTAATTATTATAATATATTATAGTATTGTAATATTGCTATTGTATTTTTTTCCATTGATGGTCAGGAGTGGAAGACATTTCGAGAGACAACGTCAGTGTGACACAGCTCCATACACAAGTGTTTGCTGATTGCTATTAGTGTTGTCGAGTGAGACGTACCCCTGGTATATAGCAGCTAACACAATACACAAAGTAAGACACGTCCCCCTGACGGCCCCGGCCACACCGAGGTGGTATATAGCAGCTAACACAAAACACAGAGTAAGACAAGTACCCCTGACGGCCCTGGCCAAACCAAGGTGGTATATAGCAGCTAACACAAAACACAAAGGAAGACACGTACCCCTGACGGCCCCGGCCACACCGAGGAGGTATATAGCAGCTAACACAAAACACAAAGTAATACAAGTACCCCTGACGGCCCTGGCCACACCAAGTTGGTATATAGCAGCTAACACAAAACACAAAGGAAGACACGTACCCCTGACGGCCCCGGCCACACCAAGGTGGTATATAGCAGCTAACACAAAACACAAAGTAAGACACATACCCCAAACGGCCCCGGCCACACCAAGGTGGTATATAGCAGCTAACACAAAACACAAAGCTTTTCTCTCCTCATCGCTGACGCCCACCAGGTCCATGGCGTTGTAGATTTTGGCCCAGGCACTCGACGCTCGCTGCCTGTCCTCTGACTGTTAAAACATGTTATATACACTGTTAACGGTTTTATCACTATACATTCAGATTTACTTTACACAGATGGGACCAGTTGTCTTTTGTTCTCTTTTCTCTCCAATATCAAGCTTTTGTTTATTTACACCACAACTTCTCTTTTTGATATTATACATTAAAACCAAACAAATCAGCTGTGCATCAAATATTTCTATGATTTTTCTTAAATTACTTGTTTATATTTTCATATTGCTATGATGATCTGTCTAGTATCAATGTTTGAACTGTACATAAAACTGTATCTACCCTCTGTAATGGTGTCATAAACAGGTTCGGCTCGTTCAATGAATTCAGATGAAGTTCATTCCTGTAAAAGAAAAAGACTATGTATAATAACAGGATTATCTCCCCTTACAGCAATAAAAAACTCTGGTAAGAAGTAACAAGAGATGGTAACTGTTCAGTGGCTAATATTAATGAGCATTTTATGTTTTTACCCCATTCAACGATCTGGGTGATGAAAGGCAACTTGTAAACATTGTAGACGATTTATCATTTAATCATCAGTTCAACATGTGTATTTATGACTTGGTCTTATTATACAATGTTTAACTGTAGAATGTGATATATGGAACAAATCATTTTTGTTCTATTGCTCTGACTCTTAGGTGACCTTATGGAAACCTTGTGGATTATCATCTCTACCATTTTTATCATGGATTGCCAGGACAAATACAACAGACGTAATACAAAGCATTTATCAAGTTTCTGATGAAGTGCTGTCAAGGACTGTAGCGCGTGTCCTGGACCTGCCTACCTCAATGTTGAGTCTATCCCTGCTAACATCTGGTAGAACACATGGAAACTTGGCTCCCCCTCAGGTCGACGCACAACACGTGTCTTCTCAAACAAAAATATCTACAAAGCAAACATATATATTATATAATTTTTTACCTCACCCTTTCATCATCCTAATTTTTATCACTGTGCAGTTTCAGCCTCTGGTTTTGAACAGCCTTCAATCAAAAATATTTGAGAATATGAATTTTGATTTAAGAGGTTTTTACAGTAGTCATCATATTTTGCTTTAAAGATTCCTGTGCCATACCTTAGTTCACTGTTTCTATTATAATATTGTGTTTGGCCAATCAGAACATTATAATCTGTTGTTACCATACTTGCCAGCTCTCCCTATTTTGGAGGGAGTCTCGCGACCCTAAAATTGAGCATTTTCAACCTGTGAACTTGCTAAACTATTCCTATTTTGAAAGATCCGATGATTGCATCTGAAAGAACATGTCAAAAGATGCCATTTAAAAGTATTTATTTTCCCCTAGGGGATATATTCACTCCCTTTCTATATGTTTGTTCTGAGTACGGGTAGTCTCCCCCATGTGTAATCTCCCCCATGTGTAATCTCCCCCATGTGGAGTCTCCCCCATGTGTAATCTCCCCATGTGTAATCTCCCCCGTGTGTAGTCTCCCCATGTGTAACCTCCCCAATGTGTAATCTGTAGTCTCCCCCGCGTCCCCCGTGTGTAGTCTCCCCATGTGTAACCTCCCCCATGTGTAGTCTCCCCCGTGTGTAGTCTCCCCCATGTGTAATCTCCCCATGTGTAATCTCCCCCGTGTGTAGTCTCCCCCATGTGTAGTCTCCCCCATGTGTAGTCTCCCCCATGTGTAGTCTCCCCCATGTGTATTCTCCTCCATGTGTAATCTCCCCCATGTATAGTCTCCCCCATGTGTTACCTCCCCCATGTGTAATCTCCCCCATGTGTACTCTCCCCCATGTGTAATCTCCCCCATGTGTTATCTCCCCCATGTGTAGTCTCCCCCGTGTGTAATCTCCCCCGTGTGTAATCTCCCCCGTGTGTAGTCTCCCCCGTGTGTAGTCTCCCCCGTGTGTAGTCTCCCCCGTGTGTAGTCTCCCCCGTGTGTAGTCTCCCCCGTGTGTAGTCTCCCCCGTGTGTAGTCTCCCCCGTGTGTAGTCTCCCCCGTGTGTAGTCTCCCCCGTGTGTAGTCTCCCCCGTGTGTAGTCTCCCCCGTGTGTAGTCTCCCCCGTGTGTAGTCTCCCCCGTGTGTAGTCTCCCCCGTGTGTAGTCTCCCCCGTGTGTAGTCTCCCCCGTGTGTAGTCTCCCCCGTGTGTAGTCTCCCCCATGTGTAATCTCCCCCATGTGCAGTCTCCCCCATGTGTAATCTCCCCCATGTGTAATCTCCCCCGTGTGTAGTCTCCCCCGTGTGTAATCTCCCCCATGTGTAGCCTCCCCATGTGTAGTCTCCCCATGTGTAGTCTCCCCCATCTGTAGTCTCCCCCGTGTGTAGTCTCCCCCATGTGTAGTCTCCCCCATGTATAGTCTCCCCCATGTGTAATCTCCCCCATGTGTAGTCTCCCACATGTGTAATCTCCCCCATGTGTAGTCTCCCCCATGTGTAATCTCCCCCATGTGTAGTCTCCCCCGTGTGTAATCTCCCCCATGTGTAATCTCCCCCGTGTGTAGTCTCCCCCGTGTGTAGTCTCCCCCGTGTGTAGTCTCCCCCGTGTGTAGTCTCCCCCGTGTGTAGTCTCCCCCGTGTGTAGTCTCCCCCGTGTGTAGTCTCCCCCGTGTGTAGTCTCCCCCGTGTGTAGTCTCCCCCGTGTGTAGTCTCCCCCGTGTGTAGTCTCCCCCGTGTGTAGTCTCCCCCGTGTGTAGTCTCCCCCGTGTGTAGTCTCCCCCGTGTGTAGTCTCCCCCGTGTGTAGTCTCCCCCGTGTGTAGTCTCCCCCGTGTGTAGTCTCCCCCATGTGTAGTCTCCCCCGTGTGTAGTCTCCCCCATGTGTAGTCTCCCCCATGTGTAGTCTCCCCCATGTGTAGTCTCCCCCATGTGTAGTCTCCCCCATGTGTAGTCTCCCCCATGTGTAGTCTCCCCCATGTGTAGTCTCCCCCATGTGTAGTCTCCCCCATGTGTAGTCTCCCCCATGTGTAGTCTCCCCCATGTGTAGTCTCCCCCATGTGTAGTCTCCCCCATGTGTAGTCTCCCCCATGTGTAGTCTCCCCCATGTGTAGTCTCCCCCATGTGTAGTCTCCCCCATGTGTAGTCTCCCCCATGTGTAGTCTCCCCCATGTGTAGTCTCCCCCATGTGTAGTCTCCCCCATGTGTAGTCTCCCCCATGTGTAGTCTCCCCCATGTGTAGTCTCCCCCGTGTGTAGTCTCCCCCGTGTGTAGTCTCCCCCGTGTGTAGTCTCCCCCGTGTGTAGTCTCCCCCGTGTGTAGTCTCCCCCGTGTGTAGTCTCCCCCATGTGTAATCTCCCCCATGTGCAGTCTCCCCCATGTGTAATCTCCCCCATGTGTAATCTCCCCCGTGTGTAGTCTCCCCCGTGTGTAATCTCCCCCATGTGTAGCCTCCCCATGTGTAGTCTCCCCATGTGTAGTCTCCCCCATGTGTAGTCTCCCCAATGTGTAATCTGTAGTCTCCCCCGCGTGTAATCTCCCCCATGTGTAGCCTCCCCCATGTGTAATCTCCCCCATGTGTAATCTCCCCCCTGTGTAGTCTCCCCATGTGTAATCTCCCCCATGTGTAGTCTCCCACATGTGTAATCTCCCCCATGTGTAGTTTCCCCCCTGTGTAATCTCCCCCATGTGTAGTCTCCCCCCTGTGTAGTCTCCCCCATGTGTAGTCTCCCACATGTGTAATCTCCCCCATGTGTAGTTTCCCCCCTGTGTAATCTCCCCCATGTGTAGTCTCCCCATGTGTAGTCTCCCCCATGTGTAGTCTCCCCCATGTGTAATCTCCGCCATGTGTAATCTCCCCCGTGTGTAGTCTCCCCATGTGTAGTCTCCCCCATGTGTAGTCTCCCCCATGTGTAGTCTCCCCCATGTGTAGTCTCCCCCATGTGTAATCTCCCC